CCAGTTGATAATCATCCATTTCAATGTCTGCTTCCGATTCCCGACTCAGTGTGTTCTTTGGTCTTCTTTTTTTCCTTTTCCTTTCAGAATTCCACCTCCACCGACTTTCATTAATTTCCTCTTCGGATGGAAACTGGTTTGTTCTCTCCCAGAGTAATCTGTTGCTGATGGTATTCGACCAGCGGACATTGAGTATATTGTGTAGACAATTGTTTATTAATACTTGTACTCTCTTGATGACGGTTGTGATAGTTCTCGAAGTTTCAGCCCTGTACAGTAGAACTGTTTGGCGTCTGTATTGAAGATTGTGACTTTGATATTGTTAAACAGTTGTTTTGAGTTCCATATGTACTTCGGCTGTAGGAATACTGTTGTTGCTTTGCCAATCCTCGCCTTTACGTCTGCATCACATCCTTTTTGTTCATCAATTATACTTCTCTGGTACGAGAAAGATCCCACATCTTCCAGAGTTTCTCCATCAAGTGTGATTTGGTTAGTGTTCTCGGTGTTGTATTTAAGGATTTCGCTTTTTCCTTTGTGTATGTTGAGGCCTACTGATGTAGAGTCTGCTGCCACACTAGTTGTCTTGACCTGCACTTATCGGTGTACATGGGATAGAAGAATTAGGTCATCTTCGGAGTTGAAATCGTCTAGTTGCATCCAAACTATCCATTGTATTCCGTGCCTCCACTCACATGTCTAGGTCTTCATATTCCAGTCAACCACCAGAAGAAAGAGGAAAGAGGGAGTAAGCAGCCTTGTCTGACTCCGGTCCTTACTTGCAGTGCTTCTGTTGGCTGTCTTCCATGCACCACTTCGCACTGTAGTCCGTTGTATGAGTTCTATATGACGTTGACGATCTTTTCAGGTACACCATAGTGTCAAAGAAGGTTCCATAAGGTTCTCCTATCCACACTGCCAAACACTGTTATATCCTGAAGAGACTTATGAATGGCAACTTTTGAGAACTATTTATGAAACAACATGGTACATATATTTTTACTTTATAGTTATTAAGTAGCTAAATTACACACATTCATGTTCCTCTTATAATAATCTTTATTTTGACCCATAGACTGTTATTACATGGTTTACCATCCTTGAGTTATGCCTAGTCTATTAATTAAAGTTTCCCACATTCACAGCCACTTTTGGTTAGATCTTGTACAAATGTTGTTTTCTATTTTGTGATGCGATGTGGTCTGTTTGCTTTGTATATAAATACAGTATGTTTGAAATACATGATTCATATCGTGGAGGCTGAGATTAGTGTTCTGACTCTAACAGGCAGGGTTAGGCAGAAAGAAGGATCGATAAGGACTTTAAACCGCTCGTACGGGTTTTATGCGTCATTTCTCCGATCGATAATTCACTGTTCTCTAATTGGCTGTATTATTATGTTATATATTAATTGGGCACAAGGTCACAAGTTGTAACGAACGCCTTCTCATAGTCAGGAAGTTGATGTATAGTGGTGAGTTCCAGTTAACTGATTGTTCAAAGATGATCCGTTGTGTCGCGATTTGGTCAGTGCACGACAGTTCATCACAAGATCCAGCCTGTTGATCTCGAAGTTGGACGTCTAATGAATTCTTGATCCGATTCGGCAACAATCTGTTGAAAATCTTTCATTGTACTGATAGCAGTGTGATGCCTCTGTAGTTTTCACACTTGCTCAGATCTTCTATCTTTGGTATCTTGATGAGCTATCCTTCTTTCCAGTCTGTCGGCATTTGTTCTTCCTTCCACATTTTCCTGAATAGAACGTGGCTCATGCTTGCAGCTTTTTGTATATCTGACATCAGTGCTTCGTCTGGCATAATGTCAGGTCCTTTTGCTATCCCACTCTTGATTTGTCTAATCGCCATCTTGATTTCTTCGATCATTGGTGGGGTGACATCTGTAGGAAGGTATGCGTGCTGTTCCGATATCCGATGGATTCAGTGGGGCTGATCTCTGCAATAGTTCTTCAAAGTAGCCTACCCATCTGTTCCTCTGTCCTTACATTTCAATGGTCGGCTTGCCTTCTCTGCCCTTAACCGGTTTCTCTGATGTACTATATTTCCCTGCCAGTTTCTTCTTTGTGTCATATCGTTGTTTGATATTTCCTTCTCTTAGAGATTTTTCCACTGTCGTTTCTAGGTCTTACACGTATTTATATTAGTCAGTTTTACTGTCCCTCTTCACTTGCCTGTTTGCTTCAATGTATTCAGTCTGTGCCTTGACTTTCACCGCACTTGTTTGACCGTTGTTAATTGTTGCTTTCTTGTTCTACCTTCCTTGGGTCTTGGTCAGGGTTTCCATAGAGATCCATTCATCATGATAGTGCCTCTTGCGGCCCAGAACCTTCTGAAGCAATGAATTTAGTGCTTCTTTGATCTATTTCCAATTGTCATCCACAGTAGTTTTTTCTTCCTTCAGTAGGTCCTGTAAGGCTTAGAGCGTGTTGTTGAGAGTTATTTTGAATTCGTTGAGTTTGTCAATATGTTAAAGAAAGGCTGTATTAAACCCTTGTAATGCTGTTTGTCCGGTTGTCCAATGGTTCTTCAGCTTCAGTTTTATCTTGACAACAACCAGGTAGTGATGCGAAGCTATGTCAGCTTCTCCCCTGGTTCCCACATCTTCCAATGTCCTTTTGATTTTTTTACTGATGTAAATATGCTAGACCTAATTCTCTGTAGTGTGATTCTTTGAGATCCATGTAGCCTTGAATATGCGTTTGCGTGGAAATATTATGACACCTATAACCATTTTGTTGAATTAACATAAATTTGCAACTCTCTCACCATTTTCGTCCCTGTCTCTCAGTCAGTCTATACCGTCCATGATATTTTCATATCCGGTGTTGTCCATTCCGATTTTGAAGTTTGGGTTTTCGTTCAGGATGACCAGGTAGTTTCCTGATAGACTGAATTCTCTCGTGAAGCTGGTATTTATCGTCGTCATTGCTATAATCGGTGGGTGCATAACATTGGATAGCACTCATTGCTGTTTTCCACTTCTTTCTTCCGAATTATGCTTTAATGATCCTGGATCTATGAGATTTTCGTCCAATGAATGCTTTCCTTGCCTTTTTGGACACCATTAGAACAACTCCCTGAGTGTAAGAAGCATCTTCTTTGTTACCAGAGTACAGCAACATCTCTCCCATTTATAGCCTTCTCTGTCCAGCTTGGGTCCGATGGGTTTCGCTGATTCCCAGTGCTGCCAATTTATATCTCCTTATTTCGTTGCTACTTGACTGGTCCTCCCGGTCTCCCACATTGCCTGAACATCCTATGTACCTATATCATTTGTTGCTCTGGTTGTTGGAAGAGGCATTGGTTCTGTGACTTTCGAAGAATCTCTCCTTTCATCATGAGGCGTCATAATTCCCCCTTCTACTTGGAGGACAGATTTTAAACGGTTTAATATGTTTGCTCTGATTAGCGTTTTTTAGCAAGGTTGTTTTGTATGGGATGGGACTGCTGACCCCATACTCAACCCTCCTCCGTTGTGTGGGAGCGGGACCGAGAGTAGCCCTAGAAGAGCTACAGGCAGAGTTGCTTGTTGAGTCAGATGTCTGAAAAATTGCAAGTACTAGAATGTGTTTATTTTAAATTCTATGCTGATTATAACATTGAAACCACGCACCTGAATTTTAGTTGTAACGACGAATTTTGTATCTGTACAGAATAAACTTCATGCGTTTCATTCTTCTTGAAGAGGTTTTGTAAAAACTATTATAATTTTGTGAAAAACTCCGGTTTTTTCAACCTTAAAACTTTGAATGGATGCAAACCAGCTACAGGACCATTCATTGATGAAATCAAGTGGGGAAACGGTTGAGTATCAGTATCAGACAACAGCAAACACTTAAAAATTCTAGTGAACAGCAACAGTGGTAAACAATGTCTTAGGCAACAGTTTCAAAAGTTCAACTGAAGTTAAAATACACGACATGGAGAGAAGTTTGTTTTTAAATATGTGGGTTTTGGAACGCCGATGGAATCACTTGTTATGGATCTACAGTACCTCACCTTTAATATGCCCCTAATTACAAAAACGAGATTACGTGAAATTTTGTGTTATCTCTGCATGGTCGAGAAATTCCGAGAAAAAATCTATTTACGAATTTATATTTTCCTACACTTAGCCTATGAGTGTACTGACTTGTACTGACTTTTATATAATTCATTTGCTTTCTGTAACTATTTACTGTTCTCCTAATCTATCTTTATTATTGACTTTATGGAAGGATCGCCTTGTGAAGTTTCTAAGGCTGTGAAAACAAACAGTTTCTTTAAAATTTAGTGGATGAGTGAAAAGCTCGGTTTCCTTTTATTTCCATGGGTTTTAAATTTATGGTTGGCACAGCATTGATTGTGACCTACGGTATTAAGCTCTGCTATCTAGGTTGTCTTGTTAATTTGCTGCTGAGAGACAAAATAATAATAGCTAGCAGTGTTGAACGATCCGATACGGTTAAACTAAAAAATATAAGGCGTATTATGACCCGACACTTATAACTGTTGAGACCAATACGGTACTATTTTGTAAACAATGTAAACAAATCAAAACCTTTACTTAAATATAAGCTATTAGGTATAAAATTTATGAGTAACGAAGATCGGATCTATTCGAATGGAAAATTTGCATCTGATATATTAACAAAAAAGAGATCCAGTCAAGAAACTGTCGGAGACGTAGATTTAGAGAAGTCGAACTTAACTATAAGAAATCGATGAAACTCATATGAAACTACGCAGCCTTTCGTGGTTGTAGATTTGAATACAACGTGGAAGAACAAGTACAGTTAAGGTTTACGGGAAAAAGTTTGTATTCGTCATTTTTCATGTTACGACTCATACATGTCTAAAAACAACAAGTCTGCATAGTGGAGTAAGCTTTTTTAAGGATAACTTATAGCTTTTTACCAGGGTTTTTAGTTCAGATTTGTAAAAATAATCGAACGTTTTAATAAAATAAAGTATATTTTTAGTTTCTAAGTAAATATTTACCTTAAGTCTCTTGTCTTTTGTAATTTTGTGACCTTGAAGACAACAAAAGGAGGGTTGTTATACGATTTTAACAATTCCATTATCATTCGCGTATCTTGAAACACTTTCAGGATTCTGTTAAAAAGAACGTCATTGTGTTCCCCGATGTAACGAGTCAGATTTATATGCAGGCTACTTGAAGAAAATAATTTGACTAGCATAGTAAAAATCAAATCACTTATGTAAACCAATGTAAATTTACTAAAGTTTGCATATGATTTATAAAAGTGAAAGTGGTAGGAGGAATGCAAGTGAATCCGAATGATTAACAGTTATCTGTGAATGTACTATTCACTCATTGTTCGGAATGGGAGATGAGTGAACTTGAAAATGAGGGTCGTTGCCGGGTAAATTCTTGTTCAAAAACGGCAGCAACATCCAAATAAAAAAGTTAAAAATAAGTTTTGTTACAGTACTTTGGGTTTGAGCCTCAAGAAAATATGTCAGTCTTATTTTTAGCTCTTGTTTATTTTTTAACTGTGAACGATTTCAAGACTAGGAGGAACACACTAAGTTAACTATACTAAAGACTACCAAAGAGAAACGGACTTATAAGTTATGTGATTTAGCCATAAGCAAATCCACAAAATGCAGTGAAATACACAATATTATGTACCAGTTTTCAAAAACATATTCTTTGTCTGTATTATAAGTTAGTTTGACATGGTTTATTAAACATGTGCATGCCACCAATAGTAATAAGTCATTTTTGAGCAGTATCCATAATGGATAACTGTTAGAACAATTTAATCGCTGTGATTATCTAACGGAACACGTAATATCAGCATATTCTGTTAATATATTCAAAACGAGATTGGACCTCCTTAGTATTACAAACTGCAAGGAATAATATAGGTTGATAGACCTCCTATCCTTATTACTGAAGACCGACTGTGACGAAAAAGAAAACTGAATACCAATTTAAAAATATTTACCAATCCCTTAGAAGTTCGATATCACCGTACGTTAGTAAAAAATGAAATCAATTGTTTATGAACATTTAATAACCCTCTGCATAACGTTGCTAAGACTTAGTCAACAAATGATGATATTTTGAGCGAACAAACAAATATTTTGTGTCACAATTAGATTACGTGATTGTAATAAAAATTTGAAAATAACTTATATTAGTATCATAATGCTAAGAAAAGAAATAAAAATTTTCTGACTCACTTTTAACATTTGGAGTACGGTACTTTTTCAAAGTGTTCGGTGTGTTTTTGGTTTACGCGTTTGTTCTTACTCTTTTTGGTGTTTGAAAACACATTTGTGCTCGCACGTTTCGGATAAAAACTAAAGCCGCATGTTCTTGGTGCATACGTGTTCGTATCTGTTTGGCCGGGATTACTGTTAATTTCTCGGAATTTCTGCATTTCCACTTTGTGATAACTTCAGATCGCATCGTATCAGTAGCAATTTCGTCACTAACTTCCAAAGACAGATTCGGTGATTCTTCTTTCTTTATTGCCACACTCAGATTAATCTATTGGGCTGACCTTAGTTACACGTGAGCTTTTTGATGACATATTGTTAATTTTTTTATGTCAAAGCTCTCACCATTTTCAAGGAAACTTTTAAGAAACTCTGGGGGGCATCACTAAAGTGTTGTAATTAGAACTAGTCGAGTTGATATCCCCACGAAAAATTCGCAGAGCAGTCTAGACTAAAGCAAATAATAATACCGCACTCGTTTCAAAAAGGGCAGTGATTTTTGTACTTGTCGTGATTATCCTTGCTTTTTGTACTTGTTGCATCAAAAAACATTCTTGGTCTACTTTAACTAAAAGTTCTTTGGTTAAGGTTTGAAAGTTTTGCTAAACTTTGTCCTATGGTACCTTATTTCTACTCATTGACTGACACTCATGTTTACATTGTGATAATATTATGTTTTGAACCTTTTTGATCAAATTATAATGGTTAGTGAGACTTATAAATGTGGACAACCAAACTGCTTGTTCCCCGTTGAGAAATGAATGCAGTGCGATGAATGTAAAAAGTGGTACCATAAGACGTGTACACGTCTAAGTCCTACGGCATACACAAGATGCTCGAAGCCTAACTCACATTGGCTTTGTATGCTTTGCTGTAAAAATAAGAAGTTACTAATTCAGGAGACTATGAGCCTATTGGCTTTGGGCCTGTAAGGAATACGATGGCGGTTGCGTTAATAACACGAGTACTGACCGTGAAGAATGTCTCAGTGTAGTACGTGCTGCTACCTGACCCGATAAACACTCGACTGTGATTGACGCGAAAGTGAAATCTCTGCTAACATTAAAGAGGAGTGAAGTGCCGCTTGATATTGATATCGGTAATCATACACCTCTAGTGGAAATTGAAGACCCGGATAAAACTGTCACCGTTCCAAATAGTCCCGGTGTGGCTGTCCTGAGTGATGGTAAATGGACTTCAGTACGAAGAAAAAGAAACGAGAAGAAAAAAGTTGTAGGTGAAACACAGTCGGTTAGCAAGTCGTTGGAAGAGACGGTATCAGGAACGAAAACTCCATTGCGTGTCAAGACAGATCTCTCTGAGAGGTCAGTCATTTTTCATAAGTTAAGAGAATCTTCCGATAAGGAACCAAAGGCTAGATTTGAATTTGATCTCAGTCATATTAAGTTCTTAATAAGCAAACTACTCCCAGATACAGTTTCAGGAGTTAGCACTTGTAAGCTCTATAGAATAGGACAAAAGATGGATTCTGAAAGTCCTCAGGAAAGCCGCCTCTTGAAGGTTACATTTGCCACGGTTGAAGAAAGGAACCTTATTCTAGGTAACTCACGTAAACTGATTGGATCCGGAATATACGTCCGTGAGGATTTCAGCCTAGCTAATCGTATTAAGAGACGAGCTACAGAAGTGGAAATAAATGAGCGTCGCCGAAACGGTGAAAGAAACCTCCTTCTTGAGGGTTTTAAAATTGTAGAAGTTTGGAAAAAAACGATCCCCAAACCACTCTGTGTAGTAAGGGAAAGTTCTCCACAGACTTAAAGGTATGCTACACAAATGCTCGCAGCCTACTAAATAAAATGGCGGAGCTCAAGTCAGTGGTGGATAAAGAAAAACCGGATGTTATTGCTGTCTCGGAAACTTGGTTAACGTCAGAAGTATTAGATAATGAAATTCAGTTGACTGGTTTTTTAAGCAATAGGGCTGATAGATTAAACCGTAGGGGGGAGCGGGATTATCCTGTACCTGAAAAGTGCCATAACCATAAGAGTAGCTGAGACAGTGGCACATGTTTCAGGGACATGTGAACTGGCGGAATGTAAGCTGAAATGTAGACGGCAAGATTTTGAATCAGTTGTAGTATATCGCAGTCCAGAATGTGTAGCAGATGATTGGGGCAGATTTCACTCAGGAACCTCCTCTAGACAAAGAACCAGACCAAAATAAAGAGTCAACAGACTACTTTCTAACCATAGACTTCGAACAAGACGATGTGATTAAGGCTTTTAGCACCTTAAACATGAAAAAGTCAGCAGGACCAGATGAACCACCCCCCATAATCTTGAGACATATTGCATAATATATCGCAGCCCCACTGACTGTGATATTCAAAATGTCACTTGACCAAGGTGTGTTACCTATAAACTGGAAGGACGCAATCGTCACCCCCATACATAAAACAGGATCAAGAAAAGTTCCACCGAACTACAGACCTGTGAGCTTCACTGGTGTTGTAGTTAAAATATTGGAAAGAATAGTCAAGCGGACCATAATAGCATTTATGGAAACCAATAGCTTGCTAAACATAAAACAAAATGGTTTTAGAAAGGGTCTGTCTTGTACAACGAACCTCCCTATAGCAAGAGAGTTTTGGATAAAGGAGATAGACAACGGAAACTCAGTGGATGTTGTCTACATAGACTTCAGTAAAACTTTTGACAAGGTGCCAACTAATAGACTGCTATTGAAGTTGGAAAGCCTTGGTATTGCCAGATCTCTTCTAAAATGAACTAGGGATTTTCTAGTAGGTCGCAGACGGAAAGTAAGAATAAATTCCAAGTGCTACATCTGGAGACAAGTACTTAGCGGGGTACCTCTTCCACTTTACTGTCGATGACGTTCTGGAGACAGCTTTGATGGGAGTGATGGTGTGTATCTGTTACTTGGAGGAGGAACCTTCGACGTTGAGTATGAGGATGATATTGTCCAACTGTTTGATGTGACTGAAGCCATGCAATCCTCACTTAATCAGTTGGCAATGAGTGTCCGTAGGTATGGCATGTGTTTAGTAGCTTCTCAGTACAAAGCACCTCTACAAGACTGACAGGAGTATGTGTCTGTACTCACTGTTGGTAGTGAGCCGTTAGAGGTAGTAGATAAGTTTATGTGCCTGGGTAGTTGTGTAAGTGTTGGTGGTAGAGTGAGTGATGAGATCAATTTATATATGGTGAAAGCCAGAAGGGTCACGTTAATCTGTGTAATCTTTTGTCCTTCATGATGTTGGTCTAACTATTAACGTCAGATTCGCGATGCGTCAGTGAGAGCTGTTGTATCCTGTGCTTGTCAAGTTTCAAACATCATTGGATGGTCCAAGACTCAAATGTGCTGCCTAGTGATTGAAAATCGATCTCGTTAATCATTTTCATGATAAATAATGTACACACTGTGCTAACCCGGGATTTTTTTGAAAAATTATTTATATAAACTGTGATATTGTTCACTCATAAATAAACTGTTGACTACCCTTAGTAACAAGGTTGGAAACAAACTTATCTATAAAGTAATATTGCTGTCTAATCGCTAGAGGTATGAAATAATTGGACCAAATAATGAAAAACAACGTTGTGTTCACGAGTTGATTTGGATTCTGTTTAACTGGTATTCTGATTCTTTTCATCAAATGTCTCAGTCGTGGTTCCATAAATGTAATTTTTAGAATTATTTGCCTAACTATTTCAATAAAACTATGGTAATAAAATTATTTGGAAGGTAATACCTATTTTACACTTATCATTTGATCAGCAAATTGACCCGAGGTTATACCTTATAGTGATTCTCCCTTTCTACTTGGTGATTACTTTTTAACCTACTGTTTTATATTTTTCCTCATTATTCTCATGTAGTACCAAAATTTTCCTTGTTTCATTTATTCCGTTTGTTATAATCCCATTTTTCCGAGAATGTTCATGATTTCATCTGCATAAAATCTACAGTTCATTTGTTCTGACCGATATTTTGTTTAATGTTTGGTGTTAGGTCTCTAAGAGATTTACGAATCTACATTTTCACATAGTTTAACTATTGAGTTGTGCACATCAGTTATATATATTTAATTACCTTTTATATAGAGGTAATTTCTCTTTCGATCTTAGCCATTATATGAAATTTATAAATAATTGTTTAATATTCATTTATCGTAGTTATTTGCTTATTTAGATAATGTCATTAACAATAATACTTTCACAACACCTTCCTTTAGATGCCTGTACTGAATGGACAATTTTTCATTCATATCAACTTATAAATTTACTGAATGACCTCATCTTTTTCAGTTAAATGATAATTATTCACTGTAGTGAAAAAACTCAACTATTTTAAATTACAATCCCATTAAAATATTTATCAAAATCTGAAGTATGCGGAGAATATTGTTTATCGTTCACCTTCCATTTACAAGATAATTACTAATGTCATTGTTTAAAACTTGTGAAATTTGGTCATCACAGCTGCACATAACAAATTTTGAGGACGGATTTTGCTTGAAGTTAAGTCCTCTTCACAATTTGCATAAATCTCAATATTTCATCTTATTTGGAACTTCCTCTGGTATTTTATCCATTTTTCTACCTCGAGCTGCTGAAATTTCAGTTAATGAAAAATCAGACCATCAATTACATAATTATAATGATTTGTGCATTGAATACAATACCGAGCATCCTATTTTATGTATAGATTGTGGTAATCTTGTCACGGAAATGTGTCAGTATCAACAGATAGCAGTTTTGCATT